CGCGGGAGGGAGGGCGGGGCGGGCCTGCGCTCGCGAGGCTCCCGGGGAGACGTCTCTCCCTCCTCGGGGGCTCTGCGGTCTGCGCCTCCACCTCGTCCCCCGGCCCGGCCCGGCCCGGCCCGCGGCGGGGTTGGACACTGCACGCGTCCGCGCAAGGGGCAGGGGCGAGGGCCGGCCGAGCGCCAAGGGAGGCCGGCGTGTCGGGGCCGTTCGCTCGCCCTCGTCTCCGCGCCGCCGCCCGCCCACCCGGGCCGGACCGGGGGCGAGGGCTGGGGGCCGAGGCCAGCCGCCCCACGTCCCCGCCGCGCGTCCCTCGCTTCCCCGCGCGCGTCCCCCGCCCGGCGGCCTCCCGCGCATTCTAGTCGTGCCACAGCCCGGCCAGGGCCCGGACGCCGCCGGCGGACAGACGGGGACGCGGCGGGACCGACAGACAGCGGGGCAGGCCCTGCCGGGGAAGGGGCGTCCCCTGGGACCTCCGCCAGCGAACAAGCAGTCGCCCTCCAAAAAGGAGGAAACCCCCTGCTAAGAAGTGGGACAGCGGTGGTGGGAAAAGGGTCTCCCCGGAACCGGCGTCCCCGAGTGAGCCAGTGGCCGGCTGTGACACAGAGGATTTCGGAAGTCAAACTGGGGACGCTGCCCACGTCGACCACGGGGATTCCCGGCGGCGGTGATTCACGGCCTCCTGTTCCCTAAGCTGTTCCTGAGGATCATTTCAGCGATGGTGTAAGAATTGGAAGTTGGTTCCAGAAGTGTCTCCAGTGACCTCGCATCACCCTAGGCGGGGGTTGGAGCGCCAGGGCGAGGCCCCTCAGCGCTGTGCGGTTCTAGAAAGTCTTGAAAGCCCAACTAGGTTAAGAAACCTTGGAGGCCGAGGGCAGTTTGCAGGTCACTTGACTCAGTCCAGACCGAGATGCCCCCACCCCACATCACCACCGCCAGGTTTTATTCAGACTTGTGAATATCAGGTCTTCAACGTTCAACATCTAGGTTCATCTTTACCTCCCTGTGTTGGTCATTCTCCCCATTTGCCCTGTGAAAAATCTGGAACCTCCCTCGTCCCCCATGGTGGCGGGCGGTGTGATTGACAGACTGACCAAGGGCGTCGGCTCTGTGCAGGAGGGACCAGAGGGCAGACGATGAGCAGCTGAGCGGAGCTGAGGTCCACCTTCCCCAAGAAGCCCTATTGAGGCCTGCCCCACGCTCATCCTCCCTGGACACACACACCCCTTTTCTCTTGCTGCCCCTGGGCTGAGCAGCCTCCCTAGGAGTTGAGAGGACAGATTTAAGGTGCTTTTATGCATCCTGGCTTTTGGGCACCCTGTGCTGTGTAAAATGTTTCCTAGGAACAATCAGGTCTTCATTCCCGTGTTGCATAAGAGGCCTGACTTTCTGAAGCTGCCCTTCAGTTTGTGCCAGGCATTCCTGGTCACTGAAAAGAAGAAAGTATTTTCATATCAGTGATGTTTCTTTAAAGGTACTTGGAACTAGAGAAAACTAGATGGCCAATTAAAAATAACAAGCACCCAAATGCCACTAATAATGACAGAAATTCAGATTAAAACACAATGAACTGCCATTTTTAAACCCATTGCATTGACACAGATTTTCTTAAGAAAAAGTATCCAAAATCTGAAAACAAGGCCAAGGGAATTGTCATCCTCTCAATGTCATTTTGAAGTATTGTTTAAAGGCCCCAGGATTGCTTAATTTTTTAGGAGAATGTACCATTGTTTGATGTTGCTCTTTATTGTCAATGAAAGGCTAAGACTCTGTAAGATTATATATTAACTAATAGATTTGTACCTGGTAGAGGTGCAAATATTTTTTGTCGCAAAGAAAAGATAACCTCTAAGGTTATAATTTATTGCCCTGTAGGACATTAACCATTTTTATATCTAGCCTAGCAATCTTATTTTAATATTTTTTAAGGACTATAAAAACCCATTTCTCCAAATGGTCTTTGAATCAGCTTTTTCATCTTACAAATTTCCTCATTAATTAATGAGTTGAGTAAATTTTTGACACGTGCATTCCATATTTGTAGGAACATATTTGAAAGTCATATTTTTTAACTTGAAATTATACTTGGACAAGTCTGACAAGAGCAAGAGTTTTTCCGCAAGGTGTATGGAAAGGCTCTTTAGAAGGCAGTTTAGCAGTAGTTGTTAAAACTGAAAATGTGCATAACTTGTGATCCAACGATTCCTCTTCTAGGATTCAATCCTAGAGAAACATTTCCACGTAGGCACTAAGAGAAATATACAAAGACATTCATTGTTGCAGTATCTGCCACAGTGAGAAATTGGAAATGACTTAAAAATCATCAGAAGTGGAATAAATAAATTCACAGCACATGTATGTGATGGAATACTATACAGCCATAAAAAATGAATCCATTCTGAAAGTATGGATAGATCTCAGAAACAAAATGTCAGTGGAAATGACTGATGGGTATAGCATGGTAGTAGAGATATGTATGGCAAAACAGTACAAAACAGTTTGTAAAGATTCCTGCCATACCCATACAGGTGCCTTTGGGATGGTGAACAAGTCAAGACGGGAGGGTGTCAAGAGGGACTTCTGCATTGTCTATAAGGTTCTTACATACATTTCTGAATTAAAGGAATGCACAAATTACTTGTGTAATTTTTCAAGGGATGTGGGTGCTGTGGGAGGCTGGAAGTAAATAGCCAGAGTGCCCTAGCACTTGACTCTGGGTGGTGGGAATAAGCACTATTGAGATTTTCTTCTAAGTATTTTTCTATTCTTTAAATATTTTCTGATGATGATGATGAAAGAATCTCTGAACTAAGCACTAGAGCCTCTGACTCCTGGTCCCGCCCAGCCGCTGACTGAGTCCAGCCGTATAACCTCAAACCGCTCACCTGAACTTTCTTTGCAGGATTTGCCTTTCTGTGAATTAGGAATTTAAAACAAAATTTTTAAAAAGCCCACGTCTGTTGTGAGGACAAATAAAATGATAGATGGCAGAAAGTTTGCTGTAAGCACCTTTGTGGACCTGTTGTGTAAATGTTAGGAGCAGACACAGAGGAGGCAAAGCAGTCTCAGCTTGTAAAATCAAGCCAATCAGCTAGTTCAGTGCCTGAGGCTGCATAAAGACTGTGAAAACAGAGAACCGAGACGAGCTCTGGGTCACCAGTCCATCTTCCAAGCCTGCGGTAGAATTACACAGATGTAACCAAGGAGGCTGGGGGTAGGTAAGAGCTTTGGAAACCAGATACTCCAATCCGATTAATAAGAGTTTGTCTTTCTTCTGCAGTTGTTTTGTTTTGGCTTCGTTTTTTAAGTTCTGTCCTTTTTCTCTAGAGATAGTGCAGAGGTCACCCTCTGTGTCCCCTCATTCTGCACCTGACAACACAATAGGGAGCTGGGGGCTACAATCAGGAAGTGAGACTGGCGGGGGAGGCAACCCTGGCCTCCACAATTTGTGACCACCCCCCCAGTCTACATCCACCAATAAGCACAGTCAGAGCTGAAGAGTCTTTTCCTCACTGCCTGTGCTCGGGCTCAGGTGGAGAAGCACTCCACACAAGCGCCATGCTTTGCATTTGAGTTTCGCTCACCAGATGTTGTGGACGCAGTGAGGTAATGGGGTGAGCATGTAAATGAGCATAAGAGAGGCCGTCGTGTTACACCAAACGGCCCCAGCCCCTCCTCGTGTGACTACTTGCTGCTCTGCACGTTCTCCAAAAAGTTCACATGCTCTCCTGATTTATGGCCTCCGCTTACCTATGTACTCCCCAATAGCTTGATAAATTAAAACTTTGTTCTATGAGTTTCTCTCCAGGAACAGGCTGACCACAGGCGGGAAACACACCTATCAGGTATCCATCACAGCTGACAGAAGCATGGAACAATGTGATGCCTGGAGCCCGTCACGCCTGGAGACCAACATCCCTGGACCCCCTCCTTACTGCCCATTTTCCCTATATAACTGCCTCAAGATTCTGTAATCTTTGAAGTTGGGTCTTTGAGACATTAGTCACCTGTCTTCCGATTTGCCGGCTGATCTAATTAAACTTTGTTTCTCGATCTCTAACTTGTTGTGATTAATGGGCTCTGATTGCTGCAAGCAGAGCGAGCCCATTGCTGGGTATCAAGCACCCCACAAACCACAGCTCTTCTCGCCTGTCTTCAGGAGAAGAGCGGCGAGGGGGCTTCACAGTTGCCAGCATTTTCAGATGCCGTTAATTAATCTGATCCTCACAAAAGCCCCATGGCAGGTGAGGAAACTGAAGGCTCCAGGATGGTCTGAAGGGGTCCCAAACCCCCGGCTAGCCCCCAACTGGGGGCCTCCCTGCTGATCCCACCAGCCTCCTCTGGCGTTGGTCCCAGCCGCACTGGCTTTCCTTCACTGTCTCAAATTGCCCAGCCCCTTCCACCTGAGCCTGCTCAGGCACCCTCTACCACCTGCCTGGGACGGCTGATTCCCACTCATCCTTTAGACCACCGCTTCTCAAACCCTGATGTGCCTGCGAGCCCCCTGGGAGCTTATTAAAAAGCAGGTCCTGATTCAGT